GTTTGTGAACCACTGCACTTCAAAAATCGATTTAAAGAGTATTAAAACACTTGCTGGTGTAATATTTTCCCTATAATTATTACAAAAACACAAAATAAGTATAAATAAGTATTTATATTTGTGTAGCCTTTGTTTTTAGGGTTATTAACAAAGTTTGTGTACTCAGACCAGTAATATTTGTGGTCACAAGTTTTTGCCATGGATATTTTGTGGGTCAGAAGATAAAAAGTTTGGGAACCTCTGGTATGGAGCATAAAGTTCTGGTATCAGTAGTATGGATATTTCAGTATCGATCTGCAGCCAAAGCCTGAAGCACTTTGTGAAACACCTTCTGCTCTGGAAGCTTTTTGTTTGCTCTAAAAAGTCAAATGTTTTTATGAAATTGATAATTTTCTGTATTTTCAGGAAAGAAATGCACCTACGGGCTGAAGTGTAAGTTCTACCACCCGGAGCGGGTCAACCAGTCGCAGCTGTCGGTGGCCGACGAGCTGAGGGCTCTGGGAGACCGAGCTAAGAGCTTGTCTCCCAGCCACCCCTCCACCACTCCACCCCCCGCCAGCAGAGAGGAGCTGCCCCCCAGAGCCCCCCCCAGTGAGGCCTTCACCTGTCACAGAGTCCAGACCAGCGTGGATGGAGACGAGGCCTTCAGCTCCATGGACAGCTCCATGTCCCGGCTCTACATCCAGGACGGCCCGTACAGCGTGGAGCCCCCCCTGACCAGCTACAGCAGTGGGCTGGGGAGCTACCCGCTGTCCGGGAACAGCCTGAGGGTCTGTCAGAGTGGTCCGGTGTATTACTCCCACCAGAACGGGTCCTGTGACTGCAAGTGTGGGCACCAGAGGATCCGGATCGGAACCAGCCACCACCACCCGGCCTGGAGCTCCTGCCCCGCCGCGCCCCCGTACACCAGGGACCAGTTCAGTCATTTCACAGACAGGCAGCCCTTCGGGCCCCCCCCTAACAGACACAGCCAGTCCCAGGACCCGTGGGCTCATCACGGTCCCCCCGACACCAATCTGGGCCGTCGGACCACGAGCCTGACCCAGGACCAGAGGAAGGATCTGAGGAGCCAGCTCAGCACCCTGTTCCCCCAAAGCATGGTGGAGCAGGTCCTGAACGAGCACCCCCACACCTCAGACAGTCTGGAACTGATCCAGCTCCTCCAGAGCTACAGAACCAGCAACTTCTCCTTCTAGACCTGTCAGGATTTAAAGTGAGCCCACAGTTCTCATCCCAGGAGCTGAGCAGAAACAAACATTTCTGACAGCAAACGTGAATGTGTGTTTTTATTTGTTGTTGTGTTAAACGTTATTTAAGCATTAAAAAGTGTGTCAGTCTGAGGAACACTACAGGCCGATGCCCTTTGTTCTAAAACAAATGTGCAATGCACTCAGCTCCATTCAGCTACTTATTGTAGCTCCAACAATCGTGATCAAAGCAGCAGGTGTTGTTTTCCCACGTTGCCTCAAAATGAGGAACACTATTCTGTACTTGTGTGTCTGTGTGATACAATCTGAAACCTTGTGTTTTTACAGCACTTTTCAAATAAAAGCACTTGGTGTATGTGTTGGTGCTGACTCATGCTGTGCAGATTAGCTCTGAGCTGGTTCCAGTAACTCAGCAGGATTGAATCAATCTGCAGCTTCAGACTGAAGCGATGAGACCTGCAGGATGTCGCCTCTCAAACTGAACGACTCTCAGCTACTACCACACGCTTGTTGAGCAGGCGTTCATCCAGAGCTGTGAGAGATTCTGCTACAGACAGAAACGGCAGCAAAAATCTCACTTCATCAGTTCAGCAGGAGCAGCCTGTAGTGTAGGCAGTGTAGGCAAACACCAAGAGCGCCGTCCATCCAGGGGGCGCCACAAACAAGGGACAAAAATATATATTATATAACTTTTTCTCAGAGTCGCTTGCATATCTTCCAAAATGTAAAAATAATGGATCTGGTCAGCTGGTCCTTCAACACTGTTGCTCAATATTTTTCCATGAGGAGACTGAGTAAAGAAGAGCCCTCTTGTCCAGGTGGGACATATCAGGGGATTCTGATGTCATCAGTCCATGAAATGGACGTTATTAGGCGTTATCAGTCCCATACAATGGCTTTAGAGGGTCCCTACTGTGCCTTCTAGGCTTCAGACTGTGCCAACAGTGACCCCTAGTGGGTTAATATATCAATGACAATGAAGCTCTGGTCCGACACTACCCATTGCCATATTGGAAGGCCACATTATACAACTGAAGGAGGGCGGTGTCTTTAGCACTAACCATGTCATTTGCTCTAAAGCAGGGGGGGTCAAACTCATTTTCACTGAGGGCCACATGAGAGTGATGGTGGCCCTCGAAGGGCCACTTGTAATGAACATTGTTTCATATTTAACTTCGACTAAACAGAGTTTTAACACGTCCTCTTTTAAACACGGATAAGAACTAAGTGTATGACTGACTAAAGCTGTAATAAATACAGAAATATTATTAAAAGTAAAACAAAAAAGTTTTACTCATTGATGAGTTTCCAGTGAGGAGCTGCATTATGTCAGATTTAGTTTATGTTTGATGGTGACTTTAAAACAGCTTATTTTCAGACATTAGTACTAAACTGCTCAGTTACTTCAAGCCAACAGCTCAGGGACAGCAATTTATTACATTTAAATTTATTTCATTTACTTTTATTAAAGTAATTTTGTTGCATTTAACCATAAATTTAAAGTTTACCATTGATATAAGAAACAAATTTCATGTTAAAAAATTTTGGGAGGAGACCCCCCTGGCGGGCCCCGCAGGCCTTGTATTTGACACATGTGCTCTAAAGTTAACCTTAGTGGTTTTATGTCTCATATTAACCAGATAGTGGTTTTATGTCTCATATTAACCAGATAGTAGTTTTATGTCTCATATTAACCAACTGACAATCAGAARCCATTCTATGGGATGGGGAACCTGCTAACCGGCACAGGTGGGACATTCTGGAGCCATTGTATGGGACTAATAACACGTAATAACGTCCATTTCATAGATAACATCTGAAGCGTGGGCACTGATTGGTGGGCCTGTTGGATAGAGCTTCATCAGAGCTAAACAACAAAATAAATCTGAAGCTCCTATGTCGAACAGTTTCTGAGTTATAAGCATTTTTTCATGTCCAGACACCCCCTGTTTGAAAGGAGCCCCCTCCTCAAATATGGGGTCTATCATAAAACCGTTGGCTGGTGCAGTGTAGGTCAGACTCATCTACAGTCCTGACACATTTCATGTTGATTGGTGCAGCTGTTTTTGTGCTACTGTTGACCAAAAATCACTGGAAAAAAAACTGTACGAAAAC